CCAGAATCTCCCCCTGCCCTGAATCTACAGCTTCCAGGGCTTTTTTTTTTTTTTTTGTCTGTCTCCTCTTGTGTTACCTTTAAAATACGACACTCTGAAGGAAGAGAAGGCTTCAATAGTTGAGAACCTCCTCAGCAGCTTCCGCTCTTGGAACACTCGCTCGGCCCTTAAGATGCGACCGTGTTGTGATTAGGAACTGGCTGACATGCAGTAACCACACACCACGGGCCAAAATAGCACCGGGACAGTCTTGGGGTGACGGGCTGGAAAGGAGCTGGCCTTCACCGCAGCAGCCTGGCTTCAGCTCTGCCGGTGACTTCAACCTTGGCCTGATCCTCTTCAACATTTGGGGGGCAGGAAGGAGTGATGTGGCCCCCGGCAGTCAGAACAGGGCTGAGTGGCCCGGCCAGTCAGACCAAACTCCAAAAGTGGTTTCAGGTCACCTAGTTACAGAAATTTGGCTCTCTTTACAGCCTGCCTTTCTCAGAATGTTGGTACATCCTTACCCAAGAGCCTCTCTTGGGGACCAGAGCCACCAAGGAATGCCAATCAAGGCCAGGGGCTGGGAGCCTCTCTCCATGCTCCTTGAAGAGGTCCCTATGCAGATGAGGTTCCAGGAGGGGGCCTGGCTGTTCCTTGGCATTCATGCTCCCGCCATTACAGCACTCGCCTCGGCCCTCAGCTGCACCAGGACCCCAAAGCCTTGGACACCTCAGGACATCTCGCCTCACCCTTCACAAAGATCACTGAATCAACCACTACTTTCTGGGTGCCAGGCCCTGTACTTGGGCTGATAACAGAGCAGAAAGAGTCCCTGACCTGCAGGACCTCACAGCTCTGCGGAAATACCGTGGTTTGGGGTTGTGTGCAGACACACACTGACGTCTGAGCCTGCAGAGCCAGTGTCGAGCCGCCTGGCAGGCCTGGCTGACCACCTGGCATTGCCAGCTCAGTGCAGCCTGCCTGGCCCTCATCACAGATGCAATAGTTTATGTGGAGTCATTAAATACAACAAAATCCTGTTTCTTTGGTTTGAAAAAGGAAGCCTTGTTTCACAACAATGTTGATAGACTTAATACTACTGAGCTGTACATTTTTAAAATGGTTAAGACTGTAAATTTCATCATTTTTTTAAACCACAATCTGAGAGGGAAAAAAAGGAAGCCAGCTCTAGCATTGCACTGGTAAAGTAAGTGAAAACAAAACGAGTCTAAAAAGGTAATGGCTTTCAAGTCAGAAAACAAAATTTTTAAAAAAATTAAAAAGACTTAAAAATCTGGTGCTGGCTAGATTTTGAGATTGCTGAGCGCATCATTTACCTTATGTAGAAACTGATCACAAAGGGCAGTTTATTCCTAGAACTCAACTATAACAAAAAAAATCTAATTAAAAAAATGAACATAGGACTTATTTTAAAAATTCTCCGATGATATACAAATGGTCAACAAGCATATGAACATGCTAAAATTCAGCAACCATAGAAATGTAAGTGAAAACTACAATGAAATATCAACTCACATCCACCAGGCCAGCTACTATCAAAAGAGCAGAAAATAACAAGGATCAGCAGGACGCAGTGAAAACAGAACCCTTGTGCACTGCTGGTAGGAATATAAAATGGTGTAGCCACTATGGAAAATACTATGGTGGTTTCT